GGGGGGGGGGGGGGGGGGGGGGGGGGGGGGGGGGGGGGGGGGGGGGGGGGGGGGGGGTTGCCCACGGCGGAGCGGGTGAATTTTACAGGATACTTAGCAATTTGTTCGTGCATGTACCCCTTTTTTCGGCATCCGATATATTTACTTCCGGTGCGGAGACTACCGTATGAGCTGTCTTTATAAACATTTTTTGTTGGCGCGGGTCGCGCCGGTGCCCCCAAATGGTGGCAGGGAAGTGTACCACAGACTGTCTGAGCCGAATCCCACACGTTTGAAACCCCGGCATGTGAGGCAGAGCGAGGCAGGTGTGTAGCATGCCACCCGCAATCCGAAAAACATGGAACAGCAGTATACATTGATATGTTGGCACTCGTACGTGCTCACGTCGAGGGTTAGGGGGCGGCAGCACATAGAACGGGCAGCACATGAAACTATTATGCTACATTAATACTTCCTCTGTCACATAAGTAAAGTCCGTTATGATTACACGGCCATTTAGCCGTGTCCGATGTCTTAGGCGATACTTTTTTTGAAATCTTGAGCGTTTTTCGGGTTGAAACCCATATTTCTATTTTTTTCTTGCGCACTACCCTGCATGCACTAGCGGCTTACAAAAAAGTAGTCAGGCCAAAAAAGGCCGTATTTTGCCCCTTTCCATGAGGGTGGGGGTGGGGGCACGAAACGAAACATAAAGACAAGAATCATCCCGAACCCTAAACCCAAGGTTACCTCTACTGAACGATCCATTTCGCGTCCTCCCATACAAAAACCAACATAGTAGTGAACCCACACTAAAATCAAGACATTTTCGAGGCCCACACTAAAACGAAGACACTTGGGGGCGCCACACTAAAATCAAGTTACTTGCGGGGCAAAGCCGACAGGCGTAGGGTCCTAACCCTACCCCCCCCTTGTACTCAACGACCCATGTCGCGTCCGCCCAATGTTTTCTGGGGTAATCACTACCAACGCCGTACCGCTCGGCGAGGGGGCCTAGAATGCCCTTGGGTACCCTTTCTTTGCCCGGCGGAATCGCCAACGCTATCTCCACCGCCATGGCGTACCGACGACCCAACGATACTTCCGCACCCCGCTTACGACGTGGGGGTGTCTGGGCGTCGTCCCCCATGATAGCTACGTCGTTGTGGTGGTAGTGGGTGCTCACACAGCACAAAGCTGCAAATATTCTTTAAAATATTCTCAAAATGTTTTCAAAATATTCCCAAAATATTCGCAAAACAGTCCCGTATTTGACACACTAATTCTCAGTAATTGTGAGTCGGATTTTTTTTTTAAGTTATGTGCGTAACAAGCGCTTTCCAACAAACCTAACTAGAGCTTCAGGAACACCTTGGCTGGTGAGGTATGTAAATTCCCCCATAACGGACTTTACTTATGTGACAGAGGAAGTATATGTATATATTTTTTCATGATGTCGGAAACGCGAGTGACTGCCGAATGGTGCCGATAGCGGGGCGGAATAATACCCTCGCACGCCTTGTCCATAGTCAGCGCTAACGGGGACAGAGAGGCGCTCATTTTTCGCGGAAGGAAGGGAGCACCTCGCGAAAAAGGAGTTCGTACATTCGACGATCCTCAATTCAAAGGCAGATACTACGGTCGTTGTTGTCCTCATGTAAAACTACTGTAGACAGGATTTCGTTGAAGCCGACAGCGCGCATTGAATGCGCCCCTCAACATCTCTATCGCTCTATGACGTGTCGCTGTCCGTCTCTCTTGTCAGTCTGTGTCTGTGCCAATGGTGCCCACTTTTGTATCGTTCCTCGGAGATTCTTCCCACTGTATTGGTCATGTAACACCTTCGGAAGAGCTGCGCTTGTGGTATTTTTGTGTTTTCTTTTTATCATCCCATCATTTATCCTGGACGTAGGTCCTTACACCTTTCGGTACCATTCTGGACGCTCCAGCCGACGTCATACAGGAGGAAGGTCACACAGCAGTAGGAGTTGTAATATCTACCTTCTGCGGTGCCTTGATTTTTATCGCGAAAAATACCCAGCCGGTCCTCTATTTGTCGACCGTGTCCTCAAGTTTTGCCTAGAGACCACTCGCGATATTGCTTCGGCATGTTGTGAGAAATCGCCGTGTGTGACTGCACCGAGATTCGAACCCACTCTCAGACGTCAAAAGGGTTAGCGAGAGGGAGGGCGGGGGAAAGAGAACCCTCAATCTAGCCGTCACGGTGGTGTCGAGGTTACCAAGAGTAGCGTTACCACCGGGGCGACCCGCTGCACGTCTCGACTGATGAATTTCCAAAAGTAGCCTTGAGTTCTCCCATTCATTCCATATCTCGGCTGGATACTTGCGTCCAAGCACGCTGAGTTCACTCATTCCACCCAGCCTCCGCAGCCTCCAACTACAGTACATCCCCCCCAAAAATGGTCAAGCTCGCCAGCTTTATTTCTCAGAGAGAACTATTTGAGGCAGCGCACGCCGTTTCAACGTCAGGGCAACATCCACACTTCTGAACCACCAACACACCGCAGTAAAAAAACTAGAGACTGCCTGCCCCAACAAATTCAGCCAGGGGTTCACGTCCGAAGCACGACGTGTTAGGCGTATAACCGTACAAGGAGCGGCTGTGACTTCGGTTTTGCATACGTCTTTTCGTGCGGCGGCGGCCGCGGCGGTGGGACGAAGACCAGCCACTACTCTAGCAGGACAGACATTATCTAGACAAGGAGCTCGCTTCGTTCACCCTCCCCTTGAGTCCATTCAGATACACAGCAGCGCACACATGGTCCAACAAAGCTTTTACTGTCTCCTCCAGCAAAACAAACAGCAACGGCGGTGTTGAAGCTCCCGCAGCAATTCACGCGACCCGGTACTTCCGAACAACTCCCTCGAGCACGGTAGACATACAGGGGTACTCACTTTGTTGGATACACACGTTCGGAAAAACGAGACCACGTCGTAACTCTTGGTGCCTTCCTCTGGTGTCCTTGGTTGGAAGGGTTTCAGACGAGACAAACAACACTAAAAAAAAACACGCGCAGGCGTCTTGTCCGTCGCCCCAATAATCAAAACCGCCCCGCCTGGCTTGCAACAGCTAAACCCCAAGTAAGTAATCTCACGCCAAGAAGGGGAAATGATGGCGAACCCCCCCCACCCCTACCCCTTCTCCCCGGGTAGCCTATTCAAGCAAGCCGCCCAAGACCTCCAGCAGTTGCAGCGATCGAGTCCGCAGCGCCGCTTCCACCAGCAGCCCGGTCGCCAGCAACTCAAATTCCAGAGCCTGATGACTCGGTTCCATCCCGCCGCGGCCTACTACCAGCAACCCGGTCGCCAGCAACTCTAATCCCAAAGCTTGATGACTCCGTCCCACCCCGCTGTGGCCACCCAGCTCGGCTCCAGCGGGTGCCACGCGACGTCTATGCAAGGACCGTCGTCGTGGCACTGCACAGGAAAGGGAGTGGAGGGGGGGGGGGGGGGGGGGGGGG